CTTGAGAACCTAGATGCACAGGCTACTAACTAACAATTCATAATTCATAACAATATCCGAATACAAAAGCAGCTCACAGGCCATCAACTAAAGCTAACTACTATCTAAACTAGGAACCGCAGCTCCGAATAGCGTGCTCACGAGCCAACTAATTTGTACCTGAAAAACATGCGGTGTAGAAACCGTTAGCGAATAATGCTAAGTAACCCACTCCCACCCGTTGAGTACAATAAGTATAGATATAGGAAAACCATTTTGAGACTTGGGAATACATAGGTATAGTCCTAAACAACTCTAGCTTTAAATCCAGGATAACGACTCAACAAGGACACACACCCAACAATATAATCAGACTCAAGACATAACAGTAATATTGACACCATAACACCACAATAAGACATAAGCATGCAAACCATGACCGCAAGACAAGACAACAACGAGGGACAACAATAACAAACCAAGGCTAAAGAGCTGTCCATGTTCCAACCTTATACCAAGTTCCAACCTTTACTCATATCCATCCTTATATCAGTTCCAACCTATACCTCCAGGCCACCCTGTACACCACCAGCCTTATCCCTTCGGAGTAGTGCTACCCGCCTATCCATCCGCCAATCTGTTCCGCCGATCTAAAGCACACTCAGTGCCAAAGGTACCGCAGCACCATAACACAAGATAAATTCGCTGCAGCGCAATATCATAAGCATCGTAGCGCTTTATTCCACCAATCGATTTTATACCGCCAATCTCATATCTTTTCATCACCCATGGACCTCAACACAAACATTCGAGACTGAACAACAACTCCATCAAGGGATAATCAGGGAAAGGGAACATCATACGTACCGACTCTCAACGGCAAGTGACACCAAAACAACCATAAAACTCATGGGGGAACATTATAGACCATACTTTGACCCACGGAACACAAGTTTAGACCACATGCATAAATCACGACTCACAAACCTCTACACGGTACTTAGGACATCATTCTAGACCCACAAACATCAAAGAAGACACATCGGGGTACGGGGTTCAACCTAACGGAGGCCGACGGACCACCGCACCGTCCGTACCAGCGGGTTGACAACCAGCCGCCGGCAGACCACCACGTTCCAGCGGGTGGTCGCCCACCTGCAAGCCGCCTGCTGGAACAATGTCGCCGTTTCGGCGGGTGGTCAGGAGGGGGTTCGTCCCCCAACCGATTACCCGCTGGAGCACCTACCCTTGGCATTTTTCCTACTTCGGGAATCCACCAAATACACTCAAAACCAAGTCCAAACACACCCAAATTCACATCAACAAAAATAGGGACCCGAACATATAGAATAACCGAAGAATTACATTATTGAAACCAAAACACAAGTTCAAAACCTTGATTAACCACAAGAACATTCACATACCCACCCAAGAACATCAAGAATAGCAAGAATCCGGACATAAACCCTAACATAAGCTCTAAACCTTGAATAACACCAGAACATGCATATACCCACCCAAGAACATTAAGAACACCAAGAATAGCAAGATTCACAACATAAACCCTAGCATAGGCTCTAGACACCGAACAATACGAGGACATACTTATAACCACCCAAGAACCCCAAGAACAACAAGAATGTCCAGAATATTAAGAATCACAATATAAACTTTAAGCACCAGCTCTAAACATGAAAAATCATTGGATAACGCATGCCATCAATCAAAGAAGCCAATAAATCGTAATATAACAAGGAAAATAGGTTTTGTAAGACATGGGTTACCTTTTTGCCTAGTTAAACTTCTCACTAATCCTAAGATCTTTCCTCAAGGTCCTCTTCCTATCAATCTTTCCTAAGCTCGGTGATGGAGAATTCTTTGTCTGGATTCTGGGAGGGGATTTTCCAGTGGTAGAGAGAGATGGGAGAAAAAGGGTTCTAAAGGCTTTCTAATTCCCTTTATATAGATTTAGGATTCCTAAGGAGAATCTGAATAGGAATGGCTCACCTTCTCTATCCTAACGAGCTTAAGGCTTTAATATAGGCAAGGGTCCACGGTCCACCATGGACCATATTTATTTAATTAAGGGATCCTGGGCTAAATTATTTCCTTTTAACAACTCTTAACGGAATTTATTAAGAGACCGATGGAGGTCTTACGAATTAATTTAAATAATTAATTCGGGTTTAGAGGGCAAAATTACGGGGTGTTACAATTTTCTAGTAAACAAGTTAGAATATGCGCATCACATTCTAACATGTATGTTAGAAAATATGGACCAAATGATTTTTCAATCCTTGCTCTCTTGCTACGTCTAGCTTTGAGCTCGGGTTCTCCTTCATTCCCTTCAACCACAGCTACGTCGAATTTTCATTTCAGCGTGCTAGGTCTTATATTGAACCTTCACAGAAATGCATCTTCTAAAGAACGATGAATTTCTTGATTCAATTTATCGTGTTCTTATGTACATCCAAATTATAGGACTCGTGTACTAAGAACCAATAACCGCCTTTGGCAAGACACCCCCACATTTAAGGTGTTAGTATGAAAGCTTCCTACGTACCCACCCACAATTCGTAACAATTTCATGCGGGTAACCTTATTTAAAAGGTACTTACTTGTTCAAAGTATTGTCTCACCCCACACACTTTGAGGTAGACCTGAACTTATCAACGTCTTGATATTTATATTTGGCAATAACGCTCTATTGAAGTGAATACCGTGCTGTACGCTCGAGTACGATACCAACGCTTGCGCTGAATTCACCAATAGGTGTTTCATCTTCACCACATCGATCATTCGTAACCGCATTAATACCACGATTAATTTGGTTTTTCTCTTTTATTCTTATAAAGAATAAATGTGTGCTACCCGTTAGCACATCTCGTAGGTGCAAACAAATTAGCACTTACGAATCCATTCGGGATTGACCGAAGCCAAAACCACGAATCAATGCTTCCGAAATTGAAGCACGAATCAGTGCTTAGGAATGAAGCACCAATCATGCTAAACCAAGCATGAATCATTGCTGCCAAACTAACGCACCGATTCCAAAGCAATTTCTATTGTTTTAAATTATAAACTCACAGCAACATTCGGTTGCTTAATTTTTCAGTGCTACCTAGCACTAAGATTGTTAGCTAATTACACAATTAGCCAAACGTCCTTAAGTGCTAGTCACAAAGCACTTTACAACGCTAAATTTAATTAGCCCCTTGCACAGTGCTAATTCAACATTTTGGACGTCCAGTGTTATTAAGCACTACAATTAGCACTTCAACAATGCTAAATTCAATTAGCATTATCCATTAAGCTCAAGCCTAATTTGACGTCCCAACAATCTTTCTCAAATTACACCCATACTAATATAGTTTAGATTTTTGATTAAGTTAATTTTGACACAATTAACGATATCAAATCAACCAAATTTTCTGACTAATTGAATCAAGCTTATATAATCGTACTACAAATATTATTTAAAATATTCAACACTTGAGCTGTGACGCTCACGATTATATAGTTATCTCAATTTTTGACAAATTGATCATTGAAATCCTTATCGTTCTACATGAACTAGAACCGAAGTCCTTTACGGGATTTCAACATGTAACACATTTGTTACATTTCATTTCGGCCGTTAGGCCATTTTAGCATTTTCCAAATAATGCTACTTGATGCACTAGGCATCCATATTGAATCATTTCATACATTTAACATTATTTTATCAAATAATTCGTATGTACTATGATTCAATAACTCAATGGAACAATTATATTTTTATTCAATAATAAAAATATTACAAGGATACTACAACATTTATTCAACAAATAAATAAATAGGAAAATTACATTGGAAACCAATTTCCATTAATCCTATGTAGTAGTCCTTCAAACCCGTGTGCCTTGTTCCATTCTCCAACCGTCCACTCCACGAAGGGTGGTCCTTCGATGCACATCGGGAGGTACCTGTTGTGACCTCACTCGTCCAACCATCCACATTCTTTAACCCAAGCGAAGTTGTCCTCAGCCTTTTCACCAGGATGACGGTTTGCTTTGTAGTGGCTGCTCACCTCCTTCGCATATTCATCTTCAGGACTAAACTTTCGTTTGCATTCCCTTTGATTATGGTTGAAGTCGTTGTTCACACTACAATAGTTCTCAGACCATGTAGTGATCACGTAGTCACTAGATCCTTCGTGGCTTTTAGCTAATCCACAAGGCATCACAATAGGTACCAATTGCGTGTCACCAGCCACAGGTCTACCGGTTCGTGAACCTAAGTTCTCCAGAGCACCATCGTTTGTTTTTGCAACTCCCATGGAAACATCATTTCCAAAGTTACTGCCATCAACTGGCATCTCGGAGTATGCAATACCATTACCGTTCCGATCATTTGAATGTGCACCACGAGCAACATTCACGATTCCAACACTTTTGGAATCCATCGACTTGTTCATACAAAAGGAATAAAGTTTTAAGATTGTTGGAAAAAATGAACCAAAGTCGATTTAATACAAAATAACATTTATATATATCAACACGAAAAAATATATATAAAGATATTATTCTATATTTTGAAATATATATATACACACAAATATATATATATATATATATATATATATATATATATATATATATATATATATATATATATATATATATATATATATATATATATATATATATAGGGTTGCATTCACATGCAAACACCATTAAAATACAAACCTGTGGACAAATATAAGCCATTAGATTAGATGAGATTAATGGTTTGGATGTAATATGCAATAATTCACGCCAGCCTAACATAGCATGTGAAAAGGGCAAATCAGACAAATTGATTAAATCCTAATTAAGGTTAAAACACAATTACACTACTCTGCCTAAATTAAAGGAGTTTAATTACAGTATAATTAGACATCCTCCTTCAAATAGAACACTCCCATCCCGGCACCAAAAACCAGCAAAACCCATACCACCGTGCAAAAGAAGAGACACCGGCGCAATTTGAAGGAGACGGCCATGGAGAACAGCCCGTGCACAGCATTCCCAGGTAAGCCCCGAAATACGATTATTTATAGAGCAAAGCACACCGTGCTTACAATTTGAAAAATATGAGCATAAGTGTATTCATGAATAAGAAGCTATTACTGTTTGAAATATTTAGGGTTCCATTAACGTGCTTTGTCATTGAACGGTATGAGCAAGGGCGAATTCATGAATTAGAAGATATTACTGTTTGAAATATATACGGTTGCATTACAGTGGTTATTTGTTGAAAAGTATGAGCATAACTGTATTAGTGAATAGGAAGCTATTACTGTCTGAAATATATGAAAATTTAACGGGGAAACCCAGTGCAAATAGCAGTTACGGGAAACCCTGCATAAGCACACTAGATTAAAACTGAGAGCACACGAGAGTTGCAGAAAATGAAGCACTAAGCACAAAGTTAAATAGTGACATGCACATATAAAAAAAAACATGTGTACTTACAGTGCATATGTTGGGACATGTGAGCACACGAAAATGGAAAGTCGGGCACACAGTAGCACAGTATTAAACCAAGCATGCACATAACATAGACCCCAAATTGCACCACAATTACACAGTGAAGCACATCATTCATTACTCCACGAAAACTGAAATATATAATTGTTATGTTGAGCAGGTGACGCCCACCGTGCACAGCACGAAATGGAATGCGAAATGGAAATACATGACGATGGAACAAAATACTGGACACCACCAACAACAAAAGAAAAAACACCGTTCGAAGGACAACGATTCAAAACAGTTGAAGACGGAATTCAATTCTACGAGGAGTATGCTAAGGTTGTCGGATTTGATGTTAGGCATGGATCAAAACGCAAGAATCGATTCGGGCAAGTGTCAATAAAATACATGCTGTGCTCACGCGAGGGTTACAAGGCTGAACGGAAGGAACCCAACAATAGCTCAACAGTAAAGCAGAGACGGCGGAGAGTGTCCAACAGGATAGGCTGTAAGGCACGCATGGTAATGACAAAGAGTGACAAAGGCGGATATAAAGTACATGCAATCCAACTAAGACATACCCATTGTTTATGCTCAGATGCGGCTAAACCTTTTTTAAAGATAAATAGGCAACTTGACATCGGCCACAAAACCTTTCTGGCTCACTGTGCAAAGGCAAATATCGGACCCGCAAAAGCTTTCAGATTGTTCAAAGAGATGGTGGGGAGTTTTACAGATGTAGGAGCAACATGCATCGACTTTTGCAATTTTAGACGGGACCTATTGGCCTATATAGCTGAGGCCGACGCCCAAATGGTGATAGAAGACATGTTCAAAAGAAAAGAGGATAACCCGGACTTCTATTTCGATTTCGACATAGACGAAGAAGCACAATTAACAAGGTTATTCTGGGCGGACGCCGAATGTCGAAGGAATTATGCATATTACGGCGATGTCATGTCATTCGACGCCACATACAGTACAAACAGGTAGACATCGTATTAGCTTTTAAATATTTTGACCGCCTACTGAGCATACGACGTATAAATGGTGTGCGCGGTGAGCAGCAAAGAGGGGGTAAAGGGCGTGCTGAACATTGAAAATCACCGTGCGCACCAGCGTGCAGAATATTAGTAGGCAGTTTACTATAAGTATGGTTAAAACTAATTACAATCATGTTTACACTGCAGGTACAAGTTAGTGTTCGTCCCTTTCACAGGGGTTGATAACCACAAAAGGTGCATAACATTCGGGGCCGGGTTGATTGCGAAAGAAGATGTAGAGTCATATGAGTGGCTAGTCACGAAGTTCAAAACTGCAATGGAATACACACCAAGATGTACTACAACTGACCAAGATCCAGCACTAAAAATAGTAGTACCACACATTATGCCAACAACAAGGCATAGATTATGTATGTGGCACATCATGTCAAAAGTTGGGGAGAAGGTGGGGGTTGCATTGTTGCACAACGCAGACTTCAAAAAGGAACTAAATAACACCGTATGGGATGACACATTAACGGTTGATGAATTTGAGCGGAGATGGACAACACTAATGAGGAACTACAATCTTGAAGAACACCGGTGGTTTGCCCAACTGTACGATGCATGTGCATCGTGGATACCTGCATACTTCAATGACTTACCGATGGGAGGTCTACTAAGGACCACATCACGGTCAGAATCAGAAAACAACTACTTCGGTAAATTTACAAACCACCATAGCAGTTTGGTAGAATTTATGGCACAATACAACAGTGCCATTGGAGAACAAAGGCATAGACAATCAAAACTCAACGCAGAAAATGAAGGTTCGTACCCTGAAACTAAAACCCCTCTGAGTATTGAAAAGCACGCTGCTAGAGTTTACACCGTTAATATATTCTATGAATTCCAACAAGAGGTATGGGATGGACTTACAAAGTTGAAGAAACCGGTGGAAGACTGTTTGAAGTAACAGAAATCCCAAGCACGAAGCTAATAGAGTGTGCATGCAAGAAATTCAATCGCGTCGGTCTACTCTGCAAGCATGTGCTACAAGTGATGAAGACAAAAGGGTATGAAAAAATCCCACAACAGTATATCGTCCCACGATGGACACGAAACGCATGTGCACACCCAATATATGATGTCCCATGGGCAAAAAGAACAACCAAATCCAAGGCAAATGAAACAACACAAGTTGCAAATCAACTATGGAATGAATTCTACAACTGCATGGGATTAGTGAATGGTTGGCCAGAAAAGATGGACCAAATGTTGGCAACATTGCAACAACTCAAGAAGGACCTAGAAAACGAAAGGCAACAAACACAAGAGGGTCTGAACAATGAATCCGTGTTTGAAAGACTAGTCGGATCAAGCAAACCGAGCGACATACAAATAAAACCCCCCCAAGTTGCAAAGAACAAAGGGAGTGGGAAGAGACTCAAAAGCAACCGAGAAAAAGCCGCCACGAACAACCAAAAGAGAAAGGAAAGAACATGCAACATATGCGATCTCCCAGGGCACAACAGCCGCACCTGTCCAGCTAAACTTGCATAAGACAAAGATTGTAGTAGTTGAATACAACAACAGATGAAATAATATAATTATGTTTACATTTACGAACCATGTTTACATACTTCTATGAAACAAACATTTTTATGGCCTATATACGCACATAAAAATACCCAACAGCCAACGAACAACGCATGGGGGGCAAATAACTATTTTCTGGGTAAAAAAATAAAAAGTAAAAAAAAAAACGAACACAAAAGCAGCATGACGCGCACAGTAACGAAAACTAAACGAACGAATGCGCGCACAGCGGGAACCTTATATGCGCACAACCATCCATTAGTCATAAAACCCCGAACCGGGGAGCACACTTCAAAACTATGACGCGCACAGTAACAAAGATGAATTGAGTAACGCGAGTCGGCAACACACACATAGGATACTATGAAGACGCACAAAGATCCAACAGCGACCACATACGAAGGCATTCGACTCTTAATGGAAAGGACTAAATAGATTAACCACCGGTAAAACAAGCGAAATAGAACGCCCACAACGAACCATGAGCCCACAAACGCCACCTGGACGAGGGAGATTGTGTACATATAAGAATTTTAAAAAAAAAAACAAAACAAAAACCCCCAAGCACACAACGCAGAAGGACACGCACAAGAACAAAAGTGAGTTACCAAATACAAGAGTAGGCTGAGCGCAACGAGGAAAATATAAACACGCACACCAATCCATAAGCAACCACATCCCTTCCTGGACGCACAGGTGGGAAAACAAAAACGGAACACACTAACAAAGCACACCGTGCACACTAACAGAAATGAATTAATTAATGCGACATAGGGATGAACACACGGAGCAAAATATAAATACACGGAACAGTGACCAAGCACACACGACTGTGAAAATGCGCGTAAAATTAATATAATAAATATACGCACCACGTCAGAAATTAAAAAACAACGAAACTAAACCACGAGTTAAGCGCAATATACAAAAAATGTGCGCCAGCACAAGTAGCAAAAATAAACCACCGTAAGCGCAGAACACAAAAACAGTGTGCGCATTACATGCACCACCAAAAAACACAACATAAGAGAAGTAAAAAAACGGCATTAAGTGGAAGGGGGAGGAACTGAGATCGACTGGTAAGCGCGAGCAAGGTTGTCTTCCCTCATCACATTAAACCGCGAAGTGACCAACTCATTCATGTACCGCAACCGTAACTTATGCAACACCGTAACTTGAACAACTGATCCAAGCTAGCAACGGAACTTGCAACAACAGCAGCAGCCTCCCCAACAACACATTCAAACGTCTAGAGTGAACACAAAAAGAACACATACATTAGCATACAAACCTTCATCAGACTAATCCAATTCTGTAAGCACAACCAAGTCCAACAGTGCGCACATAAAGTAATGAACTAAATAAATTTAAAACAAAAAAGAGTGCAAGACAAACAACTGTGCAATCCAACCTTAGGGCCATACTCGGGGCCATCCCCGTCCACATTCAACCCCACAACAGCAGGCTCGATCTCACCACAACCAAACCCACCAGCAGCCATCTCCGCAGACTCCCTCGCAAAAAGCAACTCCGATGTCCATCCGCGAAACGAAGGCACGAGCCGTGGGACAGAACGCTCAAACGGCAACACACGGTCCACATAAAACAACTGAACGCATGTGCACAACAAAATAAGGAAAATAACACAAAAAAACAGTAAAAACAAAATTAAAAAAAAAAACAAAAATAACAAACAGAATAATACCGCAACAAACTCCGCAGGACCCACAAAGCATTTATGACGGCCATTAACCCAAGCATCCTGAGTCTCCACCAACAAATCTAGCAGAAGCTTGCACCAATTTAACTCATGGATCCGAGAGACATCATCAAACCAATCAAAATACATTTGATTCGCATAGCCATTGCTCATACAACACACCAACGTGGACAGCACCAACATACAAAAATTCCTTTTAAACCAATCGCCACCATCAACCTCACCAATAACCTTGTCTGCAACCATGGACAACGGCACCGCATAACCCCCCTTCCCAAATAATCCCCTCCAATGTTTCAGCATATTGCTAATATGCACCCGCTCACGCTTAACCATCTCAATTTCACCCCGCGGAAACCCCAACACCAACTCCACATCCCGCTCATACACAGGAAGGGCCCTACCACCCCCCAAGTCAAACGTCCGCGTCTGCCCATCAAAATTAGTCAAGAGCCAATGCACCAGACTCGGCGGACACTCCGACACCTTGAAATCCAGCAAATGCCCAAATCCTAAACCCCTAATATCATTTTTTTGCCGCACGGACAAATCGTGAAGAGCATCAACAAGAACACCAGTTTGCCCCCGAAACTTAACAGTGGAAAATTCAGAAACCTCTTCTACAAGCTCCTCGCCACCACCAGAGGAATCTTCAGGAGCATTCCACAGCGGGTCTTGCTCCAACCTAGCCAAGAACGCCAACGGTGGCGAAACGAAGTCATCATCACTCGCACACCCCACGCCAACCCCAGGAACTCCCTGCAACCCCTTAAGCTTCTTACCTGCAGAAAAAAGAACAACACTACCCACTACACAACCCTGCACACCAACCCACACACCTTCAGCATCACACCCAGCCACATCAATCACAATACAAAACCACACACCCACAATCCCGGCAGAAACATCACCCACACCCCCCCCCCCCCCCCCCCACCAAAATTTCCTGATTTGGAAAACAAATAATCATCCGACCATCGAACAGCTAACAACAATTAAAGCTTGCACAATTATAACAACCGACAACAAAACAAGTAACAACAAAGTAAAAAACTGAAATGCAGTAAAATACAAAAAGAAACTACTATACACCATCAAATAGAATACACCTATCATGCCACACTAGTTTAAATGCAAAACACTATATAGCATACTCAAGATATAAGGATATGTACCAAATAATCTCAACTACTAATAAACAGCATGCCACACTAGTTTAATCTAGACTCAACATAAAACATAGTAATCCACACCTCATTCCACAAACATTTAAGCAAAACCCCTAACAAAAAAAAAAAAAAAAAAAAAAAAAAAAAAAAAAAAAAAAAAAGAAAAAGAGAGACAAAAACTGCCCGGCCGGATGAATAATAAACACCCCTTCCGAATCCAAAAAAAAAAATTACTACATTTATTTCTCCTACTATTTTAACCTTGTTATTTATGCGAACTTAATTGATTTGGACCACCTTAAGTCAATTATAATTAGTCCCCTCAATTACAATTATTAATGTGCATTATACTGCTCTTTCATTGTTAATTGACACAGGAAGCAGAAAGATGTTTTAGTATACTGCTCTTTCTTTGTTAATTCACACAGTTAGCAGAAAGATGTTTTAGTATACTGCTCTTTCTTTGTTAATTCACACACTTAGCAGAAAGCTGAAATGGAATCTAATATCGCGGTGAGAAGCTATTGCAAACGAGAGAGACTCATAAGGGTGTGGTTATAACATACGACCAAACATACATTTAAAAGAAAAAAAAAAAAAAAAAAAAAACAACAGCAACGAGAACTGCCGGCCGGAAAAACAAAAGAACACCCCTTCCGGCCACAAAAACGCCCACAGCCACCCCACCCAGCCACCAAAATCCCCACCGCCCCGGAAACAAACCAACAAACCCCAAAACCCATCCCGCCATACCCTACGAACCAGTACAAAAACAAACCCTAGATGCAAAAATCGAACACAAAATCGGGCAAAAAGACATAGCCCCCCACCCCAACAACAAACCCCCAAAACTTGAACAGAAAACCAGGCCGAAAATAGTATAGAAAAAAAAAAAAAAAAAAAAAAAAAAAAAAAAAAGAGGACTAACCTCGGCCGACATCCGGTGGTCCCCCCCTCTTCAACGTGTCGCGGTCCCCACCAACAACCATGGCAACGTGCGAATGAATATCGAAAACGAGAAGGAGAGAAGGCAACGCGATTTTCGCACCTCTTCGACGCACTCCCCACGCACGACAAGAGAAGACCGGAAGAATAGGAAAAGTCTCCACCTTGCGCGTGTGTTTGAAAGCCAATCTACAAGGACTCTCCAACCAAAAATACATTAATACCCTTCTTAAAATAAAAACACCCAAAAAAATAGATGGATGCACGCCCAAATCTGAGCCATTCAACCGCATCATCCAACGCTCTAAAATAGTCCACACGTTTTTATTTTAAGAGGTGTTTTCACATGAATCAAATTCTATATATATATATATATATATATATATATATATATATATATATATATATACATACATACATACATACATACATACATACATACATATATATATATATACATATATATATATATATATATATATATATATATATATATATATATATACACACACACACACATATATATATATATATGTGTGTGTGTGTGTGTGTGTGTGTGTGTGTGTAACAACCAAAGTGAAATTTATAATCCTTCATATTATAATTCCAACAAGAAACTATATATAAATATATAGAACAAGGATTTATTGCTTAGAGCATAATCCCAAAACCGAGAAGAAAGAAGATGAAGAAGAGGGTAAGTACGAGTCAAGCGAAACACTCTTTCCTTAAAACCTTATTTTTCACCTCCTACAAGTGCTAGGAGCGTTGTGGCCTAGGCTTCCCAGGATAAAACGTACTACGATTTAACGTTTGAGCACCCAAACGAATGAACCCGGTGAACTAGAGCACGGGTCGGCAAGAACAGAGTAGGAGCAGAGTTTTGAGAGAAGAAACTGCGATTTCTGTTGTGTATTGTGTCTCTTCATTCGTGTTGTTCGTATATAACCTGATGCCCCTACAACAAGCTTATATAGGAGATTGAGGTGGAAATAGCATTCAACAACGGCATTAAATCTGATTTAAAAGCAAATTATAACCTTCAAAACGGACCATTTAACATGGAGATTAATTCTGAAATTAATATAGAATTAATTCCGTAAAAGCTGAATTAATCATCCAAACAGTCACTGAAACAGTACATGCAACCATACCATTCCGGAAGATGTGTCGGTACACATGCGCCGCTCCGTAGACTTCCGGTAGACACGCACCGCTCGCGAACTGAACGTACCAGTAGACGCGTACCGCTCCGTAAGCCTGACGCGGTCTACCTCTGCTTCGGTCCGTAAGCCTGACGCGGTCTACCGCTGCTCACCGAAGCCTGCCGCAGCTCATCAATAGCTAATACGTTGGAAAAATATTCGATATATAAAATGCTTATGTTATATTTAAATTTTAATACATGTTGAATATATTACACTAAAAATATTGAAGTATATTATAAAAATAATAGTTTTATTAGGTATTAATTGTATAGTATTATCATATATATTGTTTTTTTTAAGTACAAGTATTATATGTTATCACAACTGGATAAATGATTTCATTATTTTTTGTCATGTAGAAAATGTTGATCTCTCATAATATATCAAATAAATAATAAAAAATTAATATCAAATGTTTCTATTATAACAATATATGTTTAACCATAATATTTTTTGGTATTTTTTTTTTAAAAGAAAAGGAGGCACCGATATATTTAACTAAGAAGCAGAAAACAACATTCATTACAAAAGGCCATATCACCATGCCGACAATCGTTATGCTTATGCATTATTATCTTGCCGTTAGGCACTATTATCTTTTTTCTTTTTTCTTTTTCTTTTTTTTTTTTTAATTTAAGACCGTTTCGTTATAGGAGTATATGTTCATAATTTTATTACTATATGTTCATAATTGTAAGTTCATAATGTCAGAGCTCTATGTTCATAATTCAATAACTGTACATTCATACTTCCATAACTGTACATTCATAATTTCGTAACTGTACATTCATAATTCAATAACTGTACATTCATAATTCAATAACTGTAACTTCATAATTTTCGAAGCTCTATGTTCACAATTTTAGAGCTCTATGTTCATAATTTTATCACTATATGTTCATATTGTAAGTTCATAATGTCAGAGCTCTATATATTCATAATTGCATAACTGTACATTCATAATTCCATAACTGTACAATCATAATTTTCGAAGCTCCATGTTCACAATTTTAGAGCTCTATGTTCATAATTTTATCACTATATGTTCATAATTGTAAGTTAATAATGTCAAAATTTTGTGTTTATAATTTTATAACTTACATTCATAATGTCATAACTGTACATTGATAATGACATAACTGTACATTCATAACCCAATAACTGTACATTCATAATGGCACAAACGAATGACGCCGTTAACGCCGAGACAAAATCAATTTTTTTTTAACTGGAATGACGCGTTTTTCTTAAAAACGACGTCATTTTGGACTCGTGTCCACAATGCATTGTGGACACGGGTCCAGGGCATAATTTGCCCCATGCCGAAAAGCCAAGACAATCAGAAATATAGAAGTGCAAAATCTCAGTAGGGGTAGGGAAAGGCAGTACAGGCCACGAGGACGAGCCACGACAATCTTCACAAGGGCGTCCGCTATGCAATTCTGTTCGCGCGGGATCCAAGCAATCCTCCAATCATGCTTGTCTCGAGGTCCTTACTCTGCCTCCCGGGCACAGACATAACTTACGGGTTTGGTGCATGCATGGGGTTCTTGCCACGAGTCGAGGCCAAAGGGGAGGACCTTGTGGGGGGCATATGTCCAGCTAACACCAGATCAACCTCTCCACCCTCGAGATCAGCCAAATGAGTGAAACGGGATTGAAATTGAATTACAGGTTCCTAAGCAACTCTGTTCTTGGGAGAGCCTTGGGGACTCTCTATTTTGTGCCTTTATCTTGAATGGGGCGCTGTTGTAGCCTCCTTGGGCCTTCCCTACGTGACACAACCATCCAAGATCCAAAGCCTCATAGCCTGTTCAATGTCCAATACATATTAATAACTAATAAATATCAGTGCAAAGTTCATTCAAACTACCTCATAGCCTGTTCAATGTCCCAGAATCAAAACACTCCTATAAATAGTACAAAGTTCATTCAAACTATGCACATTCGAAGGCTTATTCAAATGCCTACAAATATATCCTTGCTTCTCAGGTTACCCCTCTACATGCAAGGAGAGCAATAAAAGTCCGGCTGGTCAGAACGTATGAACTCCCTGAGTTGAGTGGAGGTTACTTAAGCAAGAGCAAAAAATGTCTCTTTCATGACGAAGAGGTAATGTTAATACATATTTTGCAGTAATATCTATTCTGATCATATGTATTGCTACATAATAAATCTATGTTATTTCATAATATATATAGGGTACATACATCGATTAGGACTCATGAGCATCTCAGCAACTTCATTGCTGTCCAATTACCAATTACAATCAGGTGATTTCTTAAAAGCTTAAATTTGGACTTATAATCTCTTATTTATCCTTGGTTATCATGAATGAGAAACTTGCATAGAGAGACTATGATTCTTGAAAAAAAAAACATTTTATGTTTTATATTATTGGGTTGACTTTGTTCTTGGACAGAAAAACGTCCTATGCATCTCATGAAGAGATTGATTACAAATTGCTCATAGGCATGATTATACTCATAGGCATAAGTTAATATAACATAAGAACCAAACTGTTATTGACTTCATAGTATTTAGTCAGGAAAAAAAGTATGTCACTAAACTAGGATGCCAGAATCCCTAATGGATTTGAATAACTAATTGCAGCAAGCTACAGAATCAAGTCAATAAGAATGTTGGTAAAAGATCTGGAAAAAGATTTCATAATATTAGTTGGCAATAAGAATCAAGTCAACTTATGGCAAGAAAATCACATGCTATCATGCAAGTCGTTGATAATGTAAAATGAATAGTCATCTACTTCATTAGAATGAACATAATTTATGAATAGTCATCTACTTCATTAGAATGAACATAATTGCAGACAAAAAATAATTACACTTGCCAGGAGAAGTAAAAAACCAATAACACATATTCACAAATCTGTCTTCACAGCAAAAAGCGAAATATGGACTATCAAACAACTTGGAAGGTTGACGTGATTTAATCAATTGAAGAAATAGCTTATGAATACATTGCTTTGTAGGTAAGCACTGTAAGCATAGTCGACGCCTTGGCGTCCTGTCGGTGGAGACAGGACGCCTGGGGGGCTCGACTCACCTGAAAGGGGCGAGTCGAGAAATGGCGTCGACATGGCGTCGCCGTGGCGTCCCATGAGACGCCATGGACGCAAATCCGACGCCGAACCCGCAAACCCGGCCCATTTTTGGTTTTTTATTTTTTAATTTTTTTTTTTTAAGTTAAGTAACAAAAAAAAAACCCTAAGATAAGAAATAGAAAGTGCGAGACTTCAGACTTAGTCAAAATTCAAAAACGAAGAAACTGCTGCGCTTCGACTCTGCGTCTCTGCGACCTTCACTGCGACTCCGACGCCGGACCTCCCTCCCTCCACTGCCGTCGCCCACGGACCACCGCCATCGCCGGACCACCGCCGTCGCCGGACCACCGTTTCCCTGTGAATTGCTTGACTTGCTTCCTGATTTCTTCTTTCTTCTTCGACTGACTCACTTCGTCGATTTTTTTTCTTCTTTTTTTTTTTGTTTGTTCTCTCTTTGTTTTGCATTTGTAGTGGCTTTATATGGCTTTATATACCAAACAAATGAGTCAAATGACTTTGTTTGGTATTTAAGCCTTATGGCCACATGGGGGCAGTGAGCAGAGGCAGTGCTCACTGCCTGCCACTTGGTCACTACTTTATTTTTTTTTTTAATTTTTTTTTTAAAATTGTACATTGTTTCATGATTGGACAGTAGGATTACACTCAATTATGGATGCAAATTCGGAAAATGAAAGCTATGATCCATCTACCGACCCTAAGAGGAAAGCTAAATCAAATGATCCGGGATGGAAGTATGGTTTTTGGCCGGACTTGGCAAACAAAGATTTAGTCGAATGTTCACTTTGCCACAAACAAATGCATTCGGGAATCAAAAGACTAAAACAACACTTGGCGGCGGGTTACGGAGATGTTGCTAAATGCCCCAAAACAACTACGGAGATTATGAGGGAAATGCAACAATATATGCAAGGCACATCAAGAATGAAGAGATCAAGGGTGGTCTTGGATGATAATGTGGATGATGATGTGCAAGAATTGGCAAGGGAAGAAACACAACCATCTTCTAACGATTCCGTTACTTATCCAAGTTCCGGGACGGCTAGTAAGAGAAAACAAACCATGTTAAGATTTGCAGAACCGCAACCGAGAGTAGGAAAACAAACTCAATCCGTTGCATCACTACTTAGAAAGACCCCTGAAGAAGTAGTTGATGAGAGGCATTCTAAGGGTCCTACTCAAAGAACAATGGAGGCTTGTACGAAGAGTAAGGAAGAAACAAAGAGGACAATGCTACATATAGCAGATTTTTTTTATGAGAATGGCATACCATTTAATGCGGCTAATTCAAGAAGCTTTGAAGTAATGGTTGAATCAATTGGACAATGGGGGCCGGGATTGAAGCCTCCTAGCTTTCATGAGTTACGAGTACCCCTCCTTTTGGACTCAAAGGAAGCGACTGATAAGTTGAAAGAAAGACATAGAGTTTCTTGGAAGCAATACGGGTGCACACTCATGTCTGATGGGTGGACCGATAGGAGAGGTAGACATTTGATTAATTTTCTTGTGAATAGTCCCGAGGGGACTTTTTTCTTGGAGTCGGTTGATGCATCGAGTGAGTCACACGATGCAAGAATGTTAGCTGGATTGTTGGAGCAAAAAGTTGTAGAAGTTGGGAAAGAAAATGTCGTTCAAATAGTGACCGACAATGGAGCAAACTATAAAGCCGCGGGCAAACTGTTGGAGGAGAGGATTCGGACATTATTTTGGACTCCTTGTGCAGCACACTGTCTTGACCTCATGCTAGAGGACATTGGGAAGATGACGGAGTTCAAGTCCAAGATTGCAAGTGGTAGAAATATTACCACTTTTATTTATAGACATGGGCGAATCCTTAGTGCCATGAGAGAGCATACGGGTGGGCAAGATCTTGTAAGAGCTGGAGCTACTCGATTCGCCACAGCATTCCTCACTTTACAGAGTTTGTACAAGCACAGAAATGCATTGAGAGCTCTATTTGTTAGTGAGGATTGGGTTCGCTCAAAATTATCCAACACCGAAGCGGGTAAAAAGGTGTGTGAGATCGTGTTGTCGACGAGATTTTGGACTGCGGTTGAGGATTGCTTGAGGGCATCACATCCCATTCTGATTGTGTTGAAGATCGTTGACGCTGATAGTACTCCAGCTATGCCCGAGCTTACGATGGCTATGTTGACTGCTAAGAAAAAGCTCAATGAATCATTTGCAAGCAAGCCAAGGCTATTGGGAAAGTTGATGGCTATTGTAGAACGAAGATGGGATGATCAGATGGGAGTGGATTTGTATGGAGCCGCCTTATTTTTAAATCCCTCTAAATACTTTGACCTTAAGGCGACGGATACTACATGTGCTCGTAAGCAACGAGCCATGTTCAATGCAATCCTTCATAAGATGATTGACGATGATGACTTGCAAGTGAAGATCAGCAATCAAGCAGATAACTACGATAATATGAGGAATGACTTAGGAATGCCATTAGCAGTCAAGCAACAAAAAGCAAAGACTCCTCGTAAGTAATACTATCATACTAAGTAAATAACTACTAAGACACTAAGTACAAAGTATATTAAATATTATAAATCTTAAACTTATTTTGTAGTTGATTGGTGGAATGCTTTTGGTGGACTTAGCATTGAGCTTCAAACACTAGCAATGCGCATCACAAGCCTTTGTTGTTCATCTTCCGGTTGTGAGCGCAATTGGAGCACATTTGAATTTGTAAGTATAGTTTTCCTAATTAGTAAAATAGTAAATAGTATTATAGAAATTATAATTTATCTCAAATTTTAATACAAGAATTTTAAACTTGTTTTTGTTTCTACTTTTACTTTTTTAGATCCATACAAAGAAAAGAAACCGCTTAGAGCATAAAAGATTGAACGACTTGGTCTATGTTCAATACAATCGCAAAATTGCAAGTAGGTTTCAAAAGATGCGTGAACAAGGCTCCAACTTTAATCCATTGGTCTTAGAAGAGTTCCAATGGGACAATGAATGGATTAATGGTGGTGAATCTAGTGATGATGTTCATCCCGGGGGTGATCTTTCATGGAGGCATGTTGATGAAGCAAGTGGTGCATCATACAATCTTGAGGGCTCTCATCTTTCTACAAGAGCTCACGCGGGGGAAGGTTCACGTGCACAAATGTTGAGCTATTCACGACGCCGCAATGCTTCTACTAGTACTCCTTCTAGTTCTAGGATAGATGAGGAAGAACAAAATGAAGAAGAGCATTTTCCTAATGATGATGAAGACATTGAAGATAAGGATGATGTTCAAGATAATGATGAAGTGGGAAATGAAGATAGTAATGATGGCAATGGAAGAGAAACAAATATTGATGACTTCTTGATGGACCTTTGAGACTTTGAACTTGGATATTGTTGTCTTGTTGATTATTCTAGTATTCTACTTGTGTAGTTGTGTTACTTGTGTGTTATGTAGTTGGTAAATTGGTACCTTAATATGTTGAATGCTTGAATACTTGAATATGTTTAATTGTTTAGAGTTTAGACTTTAGCATGTTTAAACTTTAGAATTTTAGATATATATTAATATATATATAATATAATATATATATAATTATATATAATATATATATAATTATATATATATTGTTCTTCCTAACTTGTCGCCTAGGCGACAAGTCGGTCGGGGGGCGCCGCGACTTAACAGGGCGCCGTGATAACTATGACGGTAAGATAATCAAGAATATATAAAGGTTGAGGCGATTTAATCAAATTCAAGAGTTGCATGAAGAATCAAGTCATGAAATAGGCAAACGTATTCTGTATTAGTACCCTTCTTTACATGCATACTTTGATTGATGTTTTACTCTATTTTAATATGAAAATAGACTATGGTTATTTTCTATATTTGCCTACTCCATATGAATGTCATACTGTCATGACACTTAAAGAATCAATCAAGGCATGAATTTCCATGTAAATAACACATTAGGGATTACACTTAGTGACAATGTAAAAAGGTAAAAAGTAATTTAAAAAAAAAAAGATAAAGAAAACTAATTGTCATGCACACTATCACACTATGCAAGTAAAAGACTAATCATTTAACTTTAATTTTTCAGAAAATAAAAACAATAATTAAAAAAATATTGACTGGCAACAGGCCAAGAATAATAGAACTAAACTATACATGTCGAGAAAGTCAATTCATTTGAATCATCAAATTGGCAAAGCAAGTTGAGAGCAAGTTACTGGCATGTCACTCAATATTGATTTTTGAAAAAGTATTATCAAAAAATAATAAACTTGATTAAAAACATCTTCAGCCTCATTCTTGAAAATGAAAGAAATAGAGAGCCAATTAGACTGATGCAATCACATCTCTGGAACTTCTTTAATATGTAAACGCACAGATGCCCAGTGATGTAATCAATTTTTAATTCTCCCATTCCAGTTCACTGGAATTAATAAATTTAGATTTCAGAAAGGCAGCTCATCTTTCTCAAGAACATAAGAATTTTTATTACAAAAAAATGAAATTTATATATTTAAAAATAACAAATATATAAACCCCCTCATTCATTTCTTTCAAATTCCAAGGATTAAAAAGCTGCAAGATTGGATACTTCTTGAATTGGAAATGCATCATTCCAAGGTTCCTAAACAAATTTCTCATAGCTACAAGAATAAAAGGGCAAAGCCACTTCAAAATGGTTTGAATGTTGAATTATTTATTCACATATACATTAGCCTCAAAGTATTTATTTTTTGAAATTGTCTTCGTAATTCCAAGATCAGTAATAGAATATTTTCAAAATCTGAAAACATAGAAATTGTTATACTAGATATTTTCAAAGACAAAATATCCGGGAAAATATATCATTAAATGGAAAAATATAAGCTTTTAATGTACGAACCATTCATGTATCCAATGAGCTTGAGTTCATCCCTGGCCTCCCCAATGAGCTCTTCGACCTGACCACAACCAAGCTTCTTCTCGATCATTTCCCAAATTTACTCAATGAGCAAATTTACTATTTAACATACTTTAAACTCTTTTAATCTGTTTCCATCCTTGGCTTTGCACCTCATTCGTGTATTAGCCTATGTACTGTGTACCAAAAACAATTGCTGTTGCATGTTAACAATCTATCAAAAAAACCTTAATCTACTCAATTATGTCAAAACTATTAATACAAATATAGCATCATAGGATGAAATCATCTACAAGGTTTTTGAGACTAAATCGTAGATAGCTAAGAAAATACAAAATGAATTATAGGAATAGAAATAGGGATCAATTACTTAACTTAGCTGACATCTTCGCCAACTCTTAACATTAAGATCATCCTCCCTATAACGTAGTAGAGGTTCCCGATCTTTCGATTTTGAACCAGACATAGAAAAACACATAAACACTAAAACACTAATTTAGACATAAAATTGGTACAACAACAACTTTTTAGATGTGTGATTGGGTGTACAAAAACACAGATTGAGAGAAATCGATGAGGTTTTACTTGGTAGACTAAGAACGGCAACGGTAGAAGACTGGTATTCGGAAATTGCCAGAGAGAAAGCGATGGAGTTAGAGAGAAGACGAATCGGCGGCCTTAGACGATTTTTGGCCTGTGTCCGGTTGGTTTTAATCGTTCAGTAATTTGGTCGGGTTTTGGGCTTCAATTTTGGGTTAGTTTTTGGGCCAGAATGTTAATATATATATATATATGCTATTTTTCTGGTGCGAACCATTACTGACGTGCGAACTAGTGAACCACTACGGGGCGTTGATATATTTGATCGTAGGGCTCATAGTTGTAAGTGTGCAACGGTACAGTGCACCACGCCCCATGGGATGCATTGCTCTATTACGCAACTTCCCCTCCACCGTATTTGAAAAGAATCCGACAGCGCATATACCGCCTATTTCTTACATCCATTACGGTGTGACGTCTCATCCTAACCCAACTGTGGCCGGACCAGCGAGGGGTAACGATGAGCGAACCCAATGGCAGAGGATTAACAGGTCACGCGTCTCTTCCCCATTCTTGATTTTCCACGCTGCATGGCTCCGCGCGTCTCTTCCCCATTTTTGTTTTCCCCCGTAACATCTGACTAGTGTATGTGCAGAGAACGACGTGATGATCCCGGAAGCAGAACCGATTGACGAACAACAATGGATGCCCGCCGATGGCGTGAGATTAGGTGCGCATCATTGTACAGTGCACCTCGCCACAGGTAGTCCACGGGCTTCTAACGTAAAATCACTTCATCCCCGTTTTAAAAGAGGATCGATAGGGCCTATCCCGCTTTTTTTGTTTCATCCTACACGCTGGTGGTTGCTATTTCGCAGACTGAGCGTTGCAACTGTGGACGATTCACGATCAACGTCACTGGACGTCCGCGATCACAATGGGCAAGTCAGATGCCGGACCTTTAACTGGTTTTGTGTGGCGAATTGTTTGTACACTGTCTGTCTTCATTTTAGCCCCGCGCGGAACCGCATACAGCCTGCGCGGCCCCATGCGGCTGTCCGGTAGTATGTGTAACCCATTCGTCTATGCCGTCGTAATGAGAAGTAGTTCCGCATGCGCCCCCCCAACTTACATGCGGTATTTAGTGTGCAGCCGACAAGAGTTTTTCTGGATTTTTTCCCCTTCGTGTCACTTAGCTTCACTAGTAGTATTTGAATGAAGACGAATTAATATTACAATCCATTGAAAGTACACACCTTCAATAACAAAGGCATCTAATTTTGTGATTGGAATATACATTTAAAAAATGGGAGGACTGTAATGAATAAACTAAATAGTATTAACCAGTAATGCTAGTTTGTAAAGCTAGTAGCTATTTTGGATTTAAAAAGCAGTATCATCTGTGAACTGCAGGTGTGAATGGTATTTTGGTGCCATTTCAATTTTTATGCCCATGCATTCCAGTACTTTGGGTATTACTTTGGAAGTTTTAATGATTATTATGTATTTTGGCATTACTTTTGATATTGTGTTTGATTATTGGGGTAATTTTCTGTTGTTGGGTTAAATTTTGATTGCATTTGGATGCTTGGTTTAATTTATGTTTGGTGAATATCCAGATATGGTTCCCTCTAATAACATAGAAGTTTCAATGTCATGGTGACAATTGAGCTATAATTTAACCAAAAGATTTGAAAGTGTTAACTAAATTCGCGGCATAATGTTGCTTTCTGCCATATTTGCAAATGGCAGTCTTTTAAAGTGCGTATAGACATTCGTTAAAGCCATTTGAATCCATCCCATGCCCCCACCCCCGACTAACAACAAATAAGAGCATTTCAGACAAAAAAAAAAAAAAAAAAAAAAAAAACCAAGCGTTTTAGTCCCAGCCTCCTATCAGTGCACCAAAAACAAAAACAACCATAAATTTGAGCCATAGATATTTCAGACCAAAAAAAAAAAAAAAAAAAAAAAAAACCATAACTTTGAGTCATCCATATGTGCACATCCTTATCTGCCTTGCATCCTACTATCAGGACTCTAATATATGACACCTTTAAAAAGCAAACCGCACATTCCAAGTGCAACTGCAAATTATTGATGTTGCACTTCGGTGTTGTACCTCGGTACCCATGCACTGGCTAATCGTTCAAAAAAAAAAAAAAACACTATTTTTTCCCTAATCACAAAATTGAACTACGCAATTTCTAACCCAAACTCCCTACATCTCTTGAGTTTCTACAGCATAGCCCCCGAACACGAAAAGAACACAGGGGCTTGGCAGTGAATTTCATGGGGAACTTATTGTTTGGCTAAGTGCGTCGGGAGTGAGACTACATTACTGTGATGGGTGCCCAGATTGTTGGTGCATTTGCACTAATCTTTGACGTTCAAACTCCTGGACCCGCACGGCAATGCTGTGCGAATGACTATTGACGGTGCTCAGTAGGATGTTGTGCATGTACCCCTTGCGTAGGTTCACTAGCTGCATTGCATTCCCCCGTTGCAACCCAGTATTCCAGTTTGCGCAATCCTGCCCCGTGTATGCCTCCATGTGCCGCATCGTGAAAATCCCAGAATCAGAAGTATAAGTGGTGTCTCTCCACGGCATCTGCATTCTTTTTGGTTTCATGATTCTTAGCCGTGCAACCCTTAGTGCTTGGAGCTTGGTGTCCAGGTATGCAGCGAGGCAGATGACCTGCACCAAAGAAGAACTTAGATTCCAATTGTGTATGTATGTACATGCATCCAAAATAAAACAAAGCGATAAGTTATCCTGTCAAAGTGTCCACCCAGTATGCTCACGAGCTTTTTAAAAAAAAAAAAAAACTAAAAGTTTACTATTAATTTCTATCCCCAACCAACTTGTACAAAGCTAATTTGGTAGTTTGAAGCTGGGGATTTCAGTGAAACTGCTCATTCATCTCACCTAACCATAGGTAGGAAGCAGAAAACATATAATAATGTAAACATGTGGAGATTTGATTATATTACATAATTTGATTTATGAAATCTATCCTCAAATAATTTAAAGAGTCTTATCATTTACTTAAGACTATCAGAAATCTTTATACAAATTCATTTTTGCCTCGACACCTTAGATATGAACGGATGCACCACACAACTACCCTGGGAGATTACAATCACAAATTCACAGACTATAGTTGACAGTGCCGAAATGAGCCCTAAACCCCGGCAGTGTTATATATTCTGTTGCTGTTACTTTGGTTTACTAGTGCCATTTCTGTTCTCGGGGAGCAATGAGTGCAGTGGTTTAAACAGCTCTTTTATTTGCTCAGGCCTCACTGGAATCCTATCACGCGCCCTGACTGCATATTTATTTTCCCTTTCTGTTTCATATATAGTTTAACTAGATTGCACCAGCTGTTACAAGTGCAATCCTGGACATAAATAAGTTGTGCATTTTAGGCCTGCATCCCCCACCCCCCTCCCCTCCCCGGTTTGCAATCTGTAATGATATAAACTCACACAAATAATCCCCTAGTATAGTATAAAAGTGAAAAACTAGATAACAGTAATGAGCAGCACAGATCGCACAAATTATACACACATAGCCGAAACCTTAATTTAGGTCATTAGAAAAACATACCAACTCCTCCGGTGCCCTACCGCACATATCTTTTGTTGGCTCTGTTGGACTTCTTTATAGAGGAGCTGTCGATAATGTCAAACCGACCATGCTTGAAACTTACCCCCATCATGTAATAGGTGCCATTATCATATATCGGGACAATGAATTGCGAGGCGATACCAATTTAGGGGTCAGACCATATGCGTTAGTGGGTGGGCCAATTAATCCAGAGAGTTACAAAGGTTACCAAATCTATTGTGACTGTCCCTTCATGACCTAAATTCTGCAACAGCCCATCCATACGCTTCTCAAACCAAGCCACCCTGTCCTCATTACTGGATGAAATGCCAACCACCATCCCAATCTGCATATTAAAGGGGGGTAATCAGTTTGGGTCTTATCGCGACGCACTGGCAGGTGAAATAAAGGACACATACTGCCATGCTAGTGGGTAGAAATAGGCGGTTCAGATCTGCCGACCTCTTTCACCACCTGCCTTAACGTTTGGAACTGAGCCCACCTCACCGTTCAATTGGCATATTGGAACAACACCTCATTCCTAGGGGACAAACCACACAAAATGCATCAGCGAGAAATTCAACCTCGATCCTTTATTCCCCCACTGGGGGAATTGAACGCAGCGACCGAGCACACACCCATAGCAGCTACCAAATCTCCGAATAAAAACACACACGCAAACGTTAAGGAAAAGACACATTAGAACTCATTTCCAGAACACCACACAAACTACCACCAAATCTAAAGACACACCAAAGAATCATATGCATGATTGTACTGCAGTTTAGCATGTGTCAAGGCATACACTCCACCCTAGCTAATTAAGAAGGAAACATTAAATGAGTTAATACCCAAAATCGTCCTTGACTATAGTGGCTTTTCTCAATTTCGTCCTAAACGACTTTGGTGACCTAATATCGTCCCAGACTTTTGTGTTTCGCTCAATTTAGTCCTAGACTTTTGTGTTTTTGCTCAATTTAGTCCCTCATTTGTTATTCTGTCCATTTGGTGTTAAATAAATAGACAATTCAGTAATTTTAATATTGACATCTCTTTACTCATAGACATGTGAACTGCGAAATCCCTTTTTTTTTACGAATTACTCTTGGAATTACTCCTAAAACTGCGAATATAAAATTTGATTTGCAGGTCCGGGAATAATTCTGGGTGTAATTCGTACAAGAAAGAGGAATTTCGCACTTCACAAGTTGAAAGTAAAGAGAGATCAATATTTACATTACTGAATTGTCCCTTTATTTAACACCAATTTGACGGAATAACAAATGGAGGACTAAATTGAGCGAAACACAAAAGTCTGGGACGATATTAGGTCACCAAAGTCGTTTAAGACGAAATTGAGAAAAACCATTATAGTCGAGGATGATTTTAGGTATTAACTCAACATTAAATATATCACTGTAAGACAAATTTTACACAGGGTTTTATGTCTGAATTTGATGCACGAACAGAATTTTAGACTAAATAAATTTGGTCCAGACTACTACGATTATATACCAACAAAAGCCTGTGAGAGTATTACAAGATTTAAACACAGAATCACCATGTAATGCAAATCCACACTGCAATTGATGCCAAAATTGCAAATTTCTGCACACCCCCAACCAGATTATTACACCAGACCACACACCCCCAAAAATACCGTATAAACCTCCCAGTTTTGAAAAATTAAAAAGGACTCACCTTTCTGCCCCAATCGCCGCGCCACCATCCTCCGTGCTGCCACTCTGGACGCTACCCCCGACGCCGCCCAGTCGAACCCACCGTGATGACCGCCGTTCGAACGGGAGCTGGTAAGCCGGAGACGGGTCCGCTGTTTGAATGGCCGCGATGCTGACGGAGAAGCCAACAGTGGCAACTGATGGCCGGACCTTCCACGCTTCGACCGGCGACTACAACCACTAGACCGGGCCATGCAACCTGTTCCGATCGCCTAAACGCTAGAATTGAGGCGAGGTTCAGATACGAGCTCGAAAGACGCCGCGGGTTGAGAAGTGGTCTGACTGTCTGAGCGGAAGAGTCGAAAAGGAATTAAAACACCCATTACACGGGCTTCGATCCAGTACGAGGCGGCACATAATGGGCCGTACACCCTCATTAGCGTGCGTTGATCATAACAAGATGAACGGATGGTAACGGTGCACAAGTTCACATATAATCCAAAGTTCACACCTGAACAGCACTCTATATAGGAGAGTATATATATATATATATATATATATATATATATATATATATATATATTGTAGTGTATATATTGTATTTTTATTGTTTATCAATTTAGAATATATACTATTTTAGATTCGTATGTCATATTACAATAAAAAATAAAAAATAAAAAAAAAATAGTATGTCATATAAAAACTTATTTTACTGTGTTTAGGTTTCTTCGTGATCATATATGTTTATAAAAAAAAAACACATTATATGATGCAACTTTACAAGTTATTAATTAACGTATAAATATATTTTTGTTTCTTTTTTTTTTCAATTTAATTCATTAAAAAACGACATAATAAATATGTGAATTTATATATTCATCAATTCCAAAAATTAGATGCAACCTTAAAAAGTTATTATTTTTCATGTATAAATAAATTTTGAAATCTATTTGCATTCAAAAAAGAATAAATTTGAAATCTATTTAATATAACAACAAATTTAATATTGCAAAAGAAAAATACATTTCAGAATGAATTTTTATGATTCATGTTTGATTTTATCATTTTTTTTTAAACATTATCAACAATAAAGTTACTTAAACTTTAGACCGTGCATCACACCGATAATTCTTCTTTTTAAAAATAAATTTTTAATATCTAAATCTAATAATTTCGTTTATAAAGCGCAGGAAAAAATACGAAAAGAGATACAGAGATTGTGATCGTTCTCTCCATTAGGAAGGGCATTGGTGAATTCTAGAATAATATCTTCATCAAATTCTAGATCGTTTTCTTCATCTTCATCAAACTTTACTATGCGTAATTTGAACTTGCAATATGAGCCGCTTTGTATTGCAAATGTGGGTTGAAATCTCCAAGATGCTTACTGTTTTTGTTATGATATGTGTGGTTTTATTAGCGATGTTACTGTGCTTTGATACAAAAAAGGGTAATAGTCTTAATTTGCCTATTTTGTAATATTGTAGCAAAAAAATTTAATGTTGTATTGGAAAAGAAGTGACGTTTGAATTTTTTTTTTTTTAATTTAAATCATATTCAAAAAGTACTAAGATAACACTAACGTTGTATATCATATTAAGTTTTCAATAATTAGTAATGTTCTAACTTCTAACACTTCGTTTTTATTAATAACATAAGCTGTATTTGAGTATTTATTGTGTAGCATTTACATGTTTATTTTTTTGTTCAATTCACAATTTAAATATAATTTTATAATTATTATGTTCTCATGTCTGAAAATAATAAATAAATTAAATTATAATTATTGCACACAATTGGACAATAAATTTAACAATTTTTTTTTGTTCAATTCTCAAATACAAATAATTTATACTTCTTCTTTTCGGTTCTCTAAAAATTATAAATTAAAACACCATCGTTTCACACAATTTATAATATAACAAGCATAAATTAAATACTTTACAATTTATTTACCGTGCAGCGCACGGGACAATTGCTAGTTATTTTTATGTGTAGTAATTTAGCTATAGAATTTTTTGTAACGGAATATATACATAATATGTAGATATGTAACAATTTTGTTATATTTGTGCAAGAAGAATACATAATATAACTATTTTGAATTATACATTGTTGAAAACCTCTTTGTAGACGACATTAGTAGTAGTAACAGAAGTTTGTCCATCCTCGTCTAGAGCTAAAACCTTAAGGCTATCAAGATGAGTGACTCAGGAAAAAGTCACATACAATTGATCGTGATTAAAGACTGATTTTTTCAACAATATGCCAACGTGAGTTACTCACTAGTACAGATTTGCACATCCGCTACCCTTGTACAAGGGTAGCGGATACCAGGGTCGCTAAAAACCTTGACCTTTCCGCTACCCTTTAACAAGGGCAGCGGAAAGTTAAGCATCCGCTACCCTTCTATTATAGAAGGGTAGCATATTTTCTTTATTTTTAAAGCATCCGCTACCCTTCTTTAAACAGAAGGGTAGCGGATTTTTTTTTTTAATTAAAAAAATCATTATTATATTTAAATTTCCTAATTCTTTTAAAATCCTATACAGAATTCATACACTACATATCAACATAATATTAACCATCAACACAATTTTATCAACAAACCATCAAAACACAATATTATCAACATATTATATTATAAATACAATATTATCAATACGCAAGCTCATACATGCTGATGGCTATGGCTTTAATCCATCCTAGATGAGTATACCTCCTAACGTTCTGTCTTTGATATTTTTGGTGGCTTCTTCTAATGCCCCCCACCATATCTTTTGGCATGGCATAGTGTATGTTACGATGAGATTCAGTTACCACATCAAAGTCTGGGACCTATCAAGATAATGATCTATTATCAGTAAATTTGTGGTTGAAGCTGAAAGGAGAAAGCATTTGCATAATAACCTAAGAAAGAACTGATCAAGAAAGTCTATTGAACAAAATAAAACACTCCATAAAAACTTGCACCTACATTATTTGTCTTACCTTTAAATGTTTTGATTTGGCTTTCTTTGATAGCTCCCTTATGCAAATGCAAACTTTTTGAACATTTCTTTTTTCAACATCTGATGTGGAGAATTGATCGATACCATTCAATCCCAAAATTTTGCTTATCTACACGAACAGGGGAACTAATAACCTTCACCACCACAACTTATTATCATTGAAAGATTAAAGTGAAAAAGAGCCATTTACTCAGAGGTGCACTACTACACTACTACACTATTAGACATGAGACTTTCATCAAATATAGATAAAGATCAAAGAAAAAGATGGAGCGAGCTGAGAAATGTCCTCAGAGGTGACCATAATAACAACAAAATAACAATACATTGTACATTTCAAGGCGGTGTTGAAGGCGGAAGTGTGATCTGTGGTGAGGAGTGCAGCGACGACGGAGGCAGGAAGAGGTGGCGGAGGTCTGTGATGGCCTGGAGGAGAGGTGAGATCTGAGAAATGCGCAACTAGGTCTAAGAGCCAGATGTGGTTTTTTTGTTGTGATCGTTTTTTTGTTTTTTTTTTTTTTTAAATAATTGTTTCCAAATCTAGTTTCAACTGCCCTTTCTACAAGCAAGGGAAGTTGAAAGTATATCCCCTTGGAAAATCGCTACCCTTTTTAAAGAAGGGTAGCGGTTTCTTATTCATTTATTTACAAGTATGCCACCGCCCCTTTCTTTTTTAGCAATACACTACCCTTGTTTAAAGAAGGGTAGCCTAATGTCATATTTCTTTGCTCCATTTTGTACTAGTGACTGTTTGACCCTGACTTTTGTTGATAGTCATTGCATATGCTAGCATCAACGGGAATTAATTAAATTTTAGTCAACGAAACTTCACACGGAATAAATTTTATAAACTAATTAATTAATTATCATAATATTCTTTCCATAACTAATTAGTCACACACGAAATATTTATGAAATATATATAGACTAATTATATATACACCGGTATGAATATATAATTTGTATAATTAATTAAATTTAGTCAACTAAACTTCACACGAAATAAATTTTATAAACTAATTAATTAATTATCATAATATTCTTTCCATAACTAATCAGTCACACACGGAATATTTATGAATTATATATAGACCAATTATATATACACAGATATTACAGAAATGCCCCTAAGTTTTGGGAGGAAAATTTGACTAGGAGGATTTTACTTTCAATTATATAAAGATATATAGATATAGATATAGATATAGATAGATAGATTATCATTATTTTGAGCTTAAATTAATACAAATATTAATCTTTACTGTAATTTAAATATAAGATTGAAAATATATACAACTAAATTCGAATAAAATAAGCCAAGCACCTTGTGCTCAGATTGCATGTAGTGACCTCTCTCATGTGGGAGGTCATGAGATCGAGCTTCAATGGAGGTTTTGTTGACTCTGTGTGCTTCATGTGAACAGAGTCTATGTAAATAGAACACTTCAATTCTATCTTTCTTTTTTTTGAATGCTTGCTGCTGACTCTATTACATTGTAGTATTTGGAGTCAACGTCGCCTCCACTGAGGCTCGAACTCATGACCTCCCATATGGAAAGTCACTACATGTCATCGGAGAAAAAAATGCTTGGCCACTTCAATTCTATCTAATTAAAATAAATTCCACATAACTTCAAAAAATAATAATAATAACTTCCACATATCAATTGGTGAACTTGAACCAGGACTATGTGGTCCAATGGTACCCGGGTTGGACTTCCATTTGGAAGATTAGGTTGAGAAAGTATATGAACAGATACTACAATGTATAATAGAGTCAGTAACTTCCAAAAAAAAAAAAAATTGGTGAACTTGAGATTTTCATTTTCTTTTATTTGAATATATTTTCATTTTATATGAAATTTATTGTCATTCAAAATTTTAATTTATTTTAATAGAATATATGTTTTTCTTTTTCATGAATACTATTGCCATTTTTATTTTTAGTCAAATATTTTTTAATACATATCAATTAGTTCATAATATAATTATTAATATAATTGTCGATATATATTCAGAATTTATATATTTCATGCCATTTTTTAATCAAGTATTCATTATCATTTTCTTTTCCAACTACCTAATTTTCATGCCATTGTTATTCTTAGTCAATGATTCTTTTTTATACATTTCTTTTTTAATTTTTCTATACTATTATTTGGACGGTGTGACCATTTCCTTTTTCATTTGAGTCAATATGGGATCATTTTTTATTTTTAATCAAGTATTAATAATCATATCTTTTACAATTGACCTAATTTCGATGTCATTTTAATTCTCAGTCAAATATTTTTTAAACATATAAATTAGTTTATACTATAATTATTAATATAATTTTTTTATATATATTCAGATTTATATATTTCGTGCCATTTTAATCAAGTATTAATTATCATGTCGTTTTCCAATATATATATATATATATATATATATATATATATATATATATATATATATATATATATATATATATATATATATATATATATATATATATATATATATATATATATGTAAACTGGCAATTTTTCCCCCTGTATTGTTTACTTATAGCATATTTTCCCCCCTATGTTGTTTATGTAACCACTTTATCCCCCTCAATTATTTTTGAAGTGGCTATTTTCCCCCTTCTCCGTTAAATAAGTGTTAGGGCTGTTAAATATGAAGGTAAAAATGGCATTTCACTTATTATTATTATTATTATTATAAATAATAATAATAATAATAATAATAACATATATATATATATATATATATATATATATATATATATATATATATATATATATATTATTTTCAGTAATATATTTTGTGCCATTTTTAATCAAGTATTAATTATCATTTCCTTTTCAAATTGATCTACTTTTTATGCCATTTTTATTCTCAGTCAATGATTCTTTTTAATACATATTAATTAGTTAATTATTAATAACGATTTTATTAATATTTCTATGTCGAAGTGATTTTATGATACTAACAACTATTAGTGTAAATAAGTTTCATGTGTAAATAATATATGTAACTGTTAGGAATATATTGTATAAGTTTTGATGTGCCAAATGTATTTTGTAGACCCCAATTTTATTTTATTTGAGTCAGTTCTGGTTCACAAAGTATGGTGCACCCCTGCCAGGAAGCCTACGTGAAAGCCTTATTGATGGAAGAATAAATGTAAGCGGGATCATAGCTTAACACATTTATGAAGCGCTCAAGTCATCAAAGGATAAGATGGATGAGATGGAAGAAAATTTGTTGAAGCATGCTTGATACTTGATGGTTTATGGTTTGATGGTTTGATTCCTGTTGAGAGCATTTTTGTCTAAAAAGGTTTAAGACAAGCTATGGTGAAGTGCTATATTGGGAAATAATATCACGAAGTGATACCATGAAGTATGATATCGGGAAGTGCCATCATGAAGATATAGTTTTGATAACATGATATCTTTTGTTATCGGATGATGATGTCACAATGTGATATGCTTTTAGAAGAGTTATGGAACCCATGTGAAGAGATGAGACAAAAGGATTTAAATCATGATATGTATCAAAAGGTTAATTAGTTGAGTTGGAAAGAGTGTTGCTAAGTAACTAAGTGATACATGGTTTGACTCTCACTTGAAGTAATTTTTATGAAGACATGATAACAAGTTCATGATACTAGCCTAACATGATATTAGTTCATGATACAAGATGGACATTATATACAATCGGGATATGACATCACCAAACAAGCTATGACATCATCATGGTACAATTGTTAGACAGAATGTTTTTGAGAACCCGCAATTTTGCGAAGGAAGAAGAAGGAGCCGAAGAAGCTGATACACGAAGGAAATCTTTTAAATACTCAAGCAAGAATCAGCAGATAAATTATTTGATCAACTTGGCATATCAGATCAATAATTCAACAAAAGTCAAGCCTGAGATTAATTCAAATTTGGAGGCTACACATTCCAAGAAAAGCTTTGTCAGATTAATTAAGAGCAACGGCACGATTATTCAAATCTTCTGACAGACGGCGAAATGACTTTGCAAACCAAGTTGGCACAATTATTTGATCAACTACAACTCAAAATGGACGATCGAGATCGAAAGTTGTTCAACAGACAAATAGTTTTCATTAGCTATAAATTGTCCAAGCAGACTTGAAGTCAAGCACGGTGAAAAAGAAAGAATTCTACAACAACAAAAAAACAACGAAGATTATCCAATCAAACATGAAGTGATATATTGAGCTATATACGATAGAATTCAAGTCTGAGAGAAGAAATCATTGTATTTCATTGTAAATCTTCTACTGAGTGTAGAAAAGGGGTAGAATAACTGGAGAGAGTGAAAAACCCCAGTTTGAGTGTAGCTTTGTGCGTAGCACTCGGTTGTAAAGGGCAGAGTAACAAGAGGAGCTTGTGAAAACCCGGTGAGAGCGTAGCTTTGTGCGTAGTTCTCGTGGTGTAAGAGTACAGCTTGGTGCGAAGTACTCGGGAAGGCGGAGTAACAAGAGGAGCTTGCGAAAAACCTTGGTGGAGTGTAGCTTTGTGCGAAGCACTCGGAGAAGTGTCGCTGGACACTTATTCATTATTGTATCTGGGTGATCGAAGAATAGTGAATTTCCTCCTTGAAGTGAAAGGAGAAGAGTGGACTAGAAGAATTACACCATCTCTGAACCACTATAAATCTTTTTCTCTATTTACTTACTGCTCATTTAATTTCGTGCATGCTTATATCATCTGCGAACTAACCCATTACTATTTATCGCGTATCTTTTTCTGTCTGGGTTTGATAGTTCCCACGTTTGCATGTAAGTGATATTTTACATACATCATCCTTAATCTATATCAAGTGTTTCTAACGTGATGCATGTATAAAATCTCTCTTTGAGCACTACACAATCAAAGCATAACACTTTACCGCTACTTATTCCGCTGTGCACACTCTAAGTTGTTTAACTTGTTTATGCTTGTTACTTAGAGTTGAAATTACCAAAGTGTTGTATGCTTGAGAAAAGTATGAAAAGTTAGAGAAGTTGTCTATTTGAGTCATTTCTTGACTGCTAGATAGATCTCGAAACTTCAAGATGAAGAGAGATATGGTTCTTGCTCAAAATTTGCTTTTCTCACTTGATAAATTTGATGATTGGAAAATACGTATGCAGGTGCACTTATCTGCTTTAAATAATGAAATGTGGGAAGTCATCACCACTGGTCCTATTAAGATCATGGAAGTTAATACCGCTACCCCACGAGATCCAAATGCTCCACAATATGTTCCAAAGCCAAAAATGGAGTGGACAAGTGAAGATAGAGGGCGAAATAACTTGGACAATATTGCCAAGGACATTTTGTTCAAAGCGGTCGATGACACCATATTCCCAAAGATTCGAAAGTGCACCACGGCAAAAGAAATATGGGATACTCTCATAAGCATCGGTGAAGGCGACGAACAAGAAAAGGACAACAATCTAACCATCGCCATGAAAAGATTCGAAGATTTCAAAATGCTTTCTAACGAAAGTATTACCGATATGGAAGCTCGCTTAGTCAAGATTCTTGGTGAAATAAGTGATCTTGGCAAACCCATCTCCCAGAAGGAAATATCACTCAAAGTATTGCGTGGACTACCTTCTAATTGGGACATGAAAGTAACCGCAATGCGAGATCATAGAGATCTAAGGACATTATCTACGGATAAACTCTTTAGTGATCTCAAGGCGTATGAGTTCGAAATGAAGACACGAATTGGAGAATAACGCGATGAACGAACATCCGCACTAATGGCCGATCAACCGTCTACATCAAGGTCAGTAGGAAATAATGATTTTTTATCTGACGAACAATTTTCCTTATTTGTTAGGAAATTCAAAAAGTTTATGCGAAAGAACAAATTCAAGAGTTCACCACAAGGAAGCTCGTTTAGAAGACCAAGGAAAGAAGCGGTCGAAGATAACACAAATGTGTGCTATAATTGTAGAAAGTCTAGACACTTTATGGCAGAATGTCCACACCCCAAGGTAAGCAAAAATTTGAATGCTACTAACCCTTCGCAGGAAGAATACAAGTCGAAGGAAAAGAGATTCAAGAAGGATAAACGAAAAGCTTTGATAAGTGATCCACTAGAAGCAAGCGAATCCGAAGAATCATCCAGTGACGAGAGTGATTCATCACAAGAAGATACGGCGCTTCTATGCTTAGTTGGCAAGACATCCGAACATGAGGAATGTTTAATGGCGCGCGAAATCGACGAAGAGGTATCTTCTAGTTCTTTTAGTTCCTTTAGTTCCGTTGACACCTCTTTCGAGACTCAAGAATCATTTCAAAGTCTTATGGAAGATTGTCAAAAGATCATGGCCACTCATACTCAAATTAAAGAGCGCAATAATACATTAATCCTTGAAAAAGAAGAAATGGCACAAAAATTGCAAAATGCTCTAAATGAAATGAGTAAATTGAAAGCCGAAAATATTCGACTTCAAGAAGAGTGCAAAGCTAGAGAGGTTCGAGAACATAACCTTCGGGAAGTAATCGCATCATTTACGCATTCATCCAAAATAATGGATAAAATGGTAAACATGCAAAAACCCGCTGGAGATAAAGCCGGACTAGGCTACGATCCAACATGTTCTAAAACCCCTCAAAAGTTGACTAATTCTACTACTACTTTAATCAATAAAGTTCCAGTGGTAAAATTTGTGAAAAGTCAACATAGCACAATGAGACAAGGAGTTGGAAACAAAATTAATGCCCATAAAAATGTTGTAAGGCCGAATCAAAATAATAATATCTCGGCAAGACAACAAAATTTTAAAAGACAAAAATTTGTATCTCAAAAGAGAACCAACGAGTCAAGTGCAATGAAACCTCATAGGAATATGGGAAGAATTCCGAGAATTGGGGCTGGGAGATTATATCCCTCAGAAGGAGATTGGTCGCTTGAAGACAAACCATGGACCAAGTCCAGATTTGCTCTATTTCATAGAAACAAGCAACTATCATCTTCCCAACCCGCAACAAAGCATTATTCGCAAGTGCGTTATGATTATAAAGTTTTTAATGGTTACAAATCACCTACTCTTGGATCAGTGGGATCTAGGTGGATTTGGATGCCAAAAATTACTAACGCAAAAGGACCCAAACAAGTGTGGGTACCTAAGAATAATTAATTTTATTGTAGGAAATTTGGTATTTCGATAGCGGATGCTCTCGACACATGACCGGCAATAAAGCTAGTCTGGTTGAGTTCAAAAGTATCGAAGGACCAAAAGTAGTTTTTGGAGGAAACGATCGATATGGAACAACAAAAGGCACTGGAACAATTGTGAAGAATGGCCTACGAAATGAAGATGTTTCATTTGTCGAAGGATTAAAATTCAATTTGTTTAGCACAAGCCAATTTTGCGACAAAGGCTATCTCGTAGAATTTTTCAAAGATAAATGTCAAGTCAAAGACGAATCTACGAAGGAAGTTGTACTAGCCGGATCGAGAAAGAAAAATATGTATGTTGTTGATTGGAGTACAACGAAGGACTCTGTATGTTTGATGGCAAGCAATTCAAATGAAGCAAGTTGGGAATTGATATGAACCTAGTCCAAGATTCAAATAAGATGGAGTATTTGTCCCAAGAATGCTCTCAAAAGTAAAGATAGACATGGATCAAAATACCTTAAACCTCACGAGAAACCCGTAGTCCCGAATCCTCAAAGACTTTGGAGAATCCCATGTAGCATCAAGTACCTCGATGTTGCAATCTTCAATCAACTAGAGTCGGATCAAGTTTTCTTCAATTCAAGAACGAGTCCACGAACCTAAATCTAAGGTTGAAGAAAGGAAGATTGATTCGAGTCCACGAATCAATTTGCTAGTCGAGTCCACGACTAGCCACTAATTGAGTCCACAAGTAGCCATAAGGTTTCTTACACAAGTGTAAAGAAAAACTTAAGAATTTTATTGAATTGAAGCCTCTTTAAAACTGATATGGATGTGCCCTATTTATAGGTATAGGGCAGCATTGTAATCCTAAATACAATGGGAATAAGAGTCCTAAACCTAATCTAGAAAGCAAGTAAATATAGTTCTATTAGAAAGGGATTTAAGGAATCCTTTCTAAATACAAACTAGTGTTTT